AGGTGGCAATATACAAATAAAAATTTTTTTCAATTGGTTCGCATGCGTGACAGGTAAAGGTGGCTTTTTTCTGTGAACATTGATTGATTGAAATTGGACCAGCAAATTTATTTATAGCATATTGCACTCCTTAAACATTGTACATTGCTTCTACACCAGTTGCCACTGTGCTAGACTGTTGTTACTGTGCTAGACTGTCGCCACTGTGCAGATGCTACCGTAATTACTCGAATCTAACGCGCACCTTTTTTATGGTTAAGCGAGTTCATAAATCGCATGCGTATTAGAATCGAGTACAAAACAAAACAAAAAAATAAATACGGTCATTCTATTGCCATCGATACTTCAAAAATGGCCGCCCCTTATGTGCGTCGGCATGGCCCACGCCTTCTCTAGGAAGATGCCTGCCGCATGAGAAAAAAACAGTTTCCACACCTCTTTCTCTCCTTCATTTTCAAAATGTTCTCGGTCGCTAGCGTCATCTGTGGCGAACGGTGCAACAACGCAACACTTTGCATAGCCTCCAAAACAGTGGTGCACAGTTGCAGGTCTCGAACAATTCTCGACTTACGCGCCCCTATGGGCCGCAGATGAAAAATGCTTGGGCTGGTATCGCCCGTCGCTGTGATGATAGTGTCGGTAGCGAGCGCCACCGCGCGGAGCTTGTTTAAAACTGAAGGCAGGCCAACTCTGCTGGGAGCGCGAGCCATTCCTCGGGCATCTTTCTAGAGGAGGCGTTGGCATGGCGCCTCGGCCATTTCTGCCAATGTGTTTACTACTGTGCGGCACTTCGTATGTGTGCTGAGGAGTTCGTCGTATCGTAGTGCATTTACATCGACGACATGGAAGGGCCGACTCGGAAGACTCGACGAGTGCACCACGATGCTGCTTTCAAAAGAAAAGTAATCGCGTGTGCAGAAACGGACGGAAATCGGGCCACATCGCGGTCGTTCGGAGTTCCTGAAACGTGCATGCAGGGCTGGCGGAAACAGAAGCAGAAGATTGTCGACTGCAAAGCTTCACGTAAAGGCTTCAGTGGACCGCAGCAGGGTCGGTTTCCGAAAATTGAAGAGCTGCTCCCCGAGCATGTGCTTGAACAGCGAGCGGCACAGCGGCCCGTGACGACAGAACTGCTCCAAGTGCGGGCTATGCAGTTAGCCTTGGAAAAAAGGCTAACGCGTAGCCAGTTCAAAGCGAGCAGGTGCTGGCTAGGTAACTTTAGAAAAAGGAAAGGATTTTCCCTCAGAAGGCGAACGGGCATATGCCAAAAGTTGCCGGAGGAGTACGAAGAAAAACTTCTCAGTTTTCGGAGGTTCGTCCTCAACTTGCGGCACATTAATGGCTACCTGCTTGGGCAAATCGGGAATGCCGATCAGACGCCTCTGTACTTCGACATGCCTGGCACTACAACCGTCGAGAAGAAGGGGGCGAAACAAGTTCGCATGCTGACATCGGGCCACGAAAAAACTAGGGTGACGGCAATGCTCTGTTGCACGTCAATCCCCCGTACCTGATATTTAAGCGGAAAACGCTCCCGAAAGGAGTCGTTTTCCCGAGTGGTGTGATCGTGCGAAAGGTTGGATGACGACGGACCTGGTCGCCGATTGGATCCATCACGTCTGGCGGAAGCGGCTTGGCGCCAGTTTGGGACCTGCGAGCGATGCTCGTGCTCGACGCGTTCAGGTGCCATCTCGATGAGCGGATCAAGAACATGCTCGCTGCATGCAATACGGATCTTGTAGTTATACCTGGCGGCATGACGCCCCAGCTTCAACCGCTGGATGTCTGCCTGAACAAGTCGTTGAAGCACAAGATGCGGGCGCTTTACACCGATTGGCTGATCAATGAACGACATGATTTCCCGCCAGGCAACAGGATGAAGCGTGCCTCTCTGCAAGACTTCGCTGCGTGGTTGAAGGACGCGTGGTGTGCAATACCATCAGCCATGGTGATCAAGGCATTCAAGAAATGTGGCATCTCGAATGCCATGGACGGTACCGAGGATGAGATGCTTTGGGCTGTTGACAGTGATAAGGAGTTGTCCGACAGCGACGAGGACTGACCTATTACGCGACTCGTAACGCCGCCGTAGTGGTCTCAGTTTTAGCTACAGGGCTGGCTGTTTGACTGTGTTTTATCTTTTGAAACTTCAGTGCATTAAAACCCAAGTACTTGTTCTCAATGTGCAAAAGTTGACACCTACGGACTTCTTTTTTTCTCCTGTCGCGAAAAATGGGTGCGCGTTACGATCGATGTCCTACTTTTTTTCGTCGCGGAAATCGGGTGCGTGTTACAATCGAGGGCGCGGTAAAATCGAGTAAATACGGTAATTAGGCACCAAACAAAGAGCCCAAGTTATAAATTGATTGTGGAGCATCTTGGAAACTACTTGATCTATCAAAAAGTAAATACATTTTTTTTAGAATCTGCACATCTATATACCCAAACTGTGAAAATTTCGTTCTGATCTATACATAAAGAAAAAAGTTGCCCACCAAGTGTGGCCTCCCCCTTAAGGGGAGACGCGCCCTTAGAAAAACGAAAAATCTCGAAAAAGTAGATTTTTTGAAAACCACATATTCTGGTAGTATGTTTTATAAACTGTCTGTTCTGTAAATAATGATGTTTAATTCATCGCAAAAGTACGTCAATTAAATTACACATGCCGCAGCAGCTAGCGAGTGGGCAGCGAGCGTTGAAAATACCCAAAATTTGAGCATTTGCAACTTCCCAACCATGTGGCCCAGCGCCACCATTTTGGTCTTGTTTTGCTCGTGAATTCCTAGCTCTTTTTTTTTTTTTTTGCCACCTGCAGCATGGCTAAGGCGGGAATCGCTCATGTATGGGGGGCTCTCAAAGTTTTGAAGTCTCCCGCGGCTCGGATGCGAAGCAGCGATTGAAGGAAGCGCGCACGATGACGCATCTGTTCCCCCGTCTCGCCATCTGCTCCAGCGCCAGCCTTGCCAGCATCAGTGTTCTCTGGGCGTGCTTTTTGTGTTCCGTTTGTCGTCATTCCGTTCGGTTCTCACATGTGCTGTTCAATCTTTCACTGTCTTTACGAGACAATCTTTCGCCGTGTTCACGGGACGCTGATTGTTCTTCTGTCATTAACGATGGGTTTTGTTTAAGAAAGCATTCGATAAAGCCCGTACGCGTGGTGAGGCTTGTTCACGCGCCAACGCGTGGGCGACGAGTTACACCGATGCTGAGCAGCTTCTCCTTCATCTCTTTAAGACAACTGCATTGATGCTTATCGTGACGTCAAAATTGCTAGACCATCCGCACAACGCTCCGGCATCACAAGTGAGGCTGGTGTAGACGCTTCGTGCTAAAGGGTGCCTCATGCGTTGTGCTCACTAACGGCATTGATTACAGCCTTGAACAATGCGACTGCGTCGTCGACTGTGCATTTGCCAACAAGATTTTGGGCGTGCGAGGAGCTATCCGTGGAGGGTAGCGAACGTGTTCCTGTGCAACCAAAGCTCAGCGCTATGTCGGCAACTGATGGCGCTATGCCGGCAATTAACAGGCAGTGGAGAAAGACCCTTGCCGTTTGAAAAAAGCTCAAGAACGGCTGAAACACAAGCAGGAAAAGCAGAAAAAGAAGTAGTCGTAAAGAACATTTCTAGCGACTTTGCAGGGTCATTTTCGACTAAAATATTTGTTCAAAACTTCAAAGTCCATTTTCTCAGAATTACTTTTTTAGCCAGTGAGGCTAAGTTTGGTGATATCTCTGCCACCGTTCATGTGATTTCTGTCAGATTTATTTTATTATGTACCCTAATAAATAGCCCACACACTAACAGAGGCGTTTTTTAAAATTTATTGTCTGTAATTTGTGATAATTAATTAAAATTTTATTGATAGATGCTTAATGGCAAACACTATATCCAGAGCTCTGCTAAACATTTTCAGCAAGAAATTAAATAAAAAAGGCTCCATCCTAGTGTAAACCACCGATTCGGGAATCATCACAGTGAATTTCACGGTGCTAGCACATTTATTAAATTCACCAGAGCCTGACTAAGGAACCTATGTGGACTATCCTAATAAATAACTGTAGCTTGGGAACCAGCGAGCCTAAATGCATGAAATTTTATGGTTATTCAAATGGCTTTATTATTAGCCTACGTTTCATTGGGATATCTCAACGAACAAAAAAAGTTGCCCTTCCATGGTAGCCTCCCCCCCTTAATAAGTAAAGCTCCTTGTGTAAGGTGTTCGAAGCTCACACATGCTAATGCAATTTTTGTGCCCCATACACCTCTAAGAATTTAGTCATTATGTTTTATGTTTGCATTTTTTTGTATTTCATCACTGCATTATTACTGCATTTCACTAATACATCTACCTCACTCTTTCACAATACCCCCATCATTCTCTCTATGGCAAGCGGCACACTTCTGCAGAGAAGTGTGCTGACTACCTTGCTAGTATGTGGGATTTTCTGGTAGCTGCACTATAACGGGTTTTCACAGTGACAACTCTATATGCACAACATGCTATGTGCATGTACAGTTCAGACATTTTGTCATCACTAAATGAGGTAGCAGACAATCAAGCCCGTGCTTGCCACGCATGAGGGTGCAGGCACATAAAAAAATCATTTAAGGATGCAGCGAGCTTGTAAAAGATTACGCAAGTGAAAACAGAGAATACTTCTTGACAAGTGAATGGACCTAGACAAAACAGAGATGCCCGAAAGTCACCAATGGTGGTGGCATTACACAACACTGCTCAGTTTGGCAGCTGAACTTGGTTCTGCATATGCTGGGCCGAAAAACGATAGCTTTTATCAATTTTGATGGCTTACTCAATGTTTATTCCATTGCATGCCTTTAATTAAACAGTGGCAAACTGAATTATACCCCAAAGATCTAAGAATTATAAACATGATCATAAATTGCTAACACAAATCTAGTTTCAGCTGCAGATGTAGCAATACGAGCTCATGCGAGTGGCCTCTGCCTAAGGCCGAACTGCTAGTGACAGAGCCACACCTGTAGGATTCTGCTTGGCAGCCACCGTGCTGGTGTCGGGCTCTGTAACCAGGACGTGTGGCGATTTGACTCGTGTTGTCTCAGAGGCTGTGCTGCTGCTGTTTAAGGTGGACCCTGTAGACTGGGCAGTCCGAGCACGTGTCACTGTGGTTGCCGGTGAAACAGGTGCCACAGGGTTGCCTGATGGGGTAGAGTTCCGAGGTGAAGGCACCCTGGGAGGTGGTGGAATGCTGGGCGAGCCGACGGCTGGAACCACCGTGGTGCCCGCACTGCCTGGCCGTGCCTTGTATTTGGCTCCTGTGTGTCGAGACAAAAAGTTAAAAAATTACTGGCTCTGGTTTCAGGAAAACTTTCAACTGAACCAGCATCGACAAAGCCTTCTAGTCGAGCTGAGCTTGAAAAATGATTAGGTACTCAAAACACTGTACCAGCATCAGTGCAGTTACAGACCTTTACCAGCACAGCAACTAAAAGTGAAATGAGAAGAAAAAAAGATCACGGCTTATCTACGAAGTGAATGATGATAAGTGGGGTTACCGCGAATACCCCCGTACACTGTCCACTCGAAAATGCAAATGAGTGACGCCTGTATACAGTATAGTAGACTCTTAGTAAATAGAAGTCTGTTAAACCGAACTACTGTATTAACTCGAAAATAGGTCAAGCACGAATATAGGTCAACCCCTAATTATAGCGCTCTATGAGAAAAAAAAAAAAATCCAATATATATGGATCCAACTTTTTTAGAAGCGGAAAATTTGAAACGTACCACAACTTTATACACAATAACATTTATTCCACCCTTTAGTCGCTGTAAGGAGCGTCGTCGTCAGACTCAGAAGTGTGTAGAAAGTTGTTGTCGGAGTCTTTGCAGGCACCCTCGGCATTTCAGATGACATCGTGCTCGCTTCCATCAAAGCGTTTGAAATGCAACACTTCTTGACACTTTTGTGGTCGTGCCTATCCTCATCGATAGTATGTTTTCGATGTTTACAACTTGTATAGTTGCCCTGTTTCGAATGCTTTTGGACCCCTTGCGCTATCTAACGCGTAAAAGAACAAGTATTTTATCAGTTTCGCTTTTGTGTTTCTCTTTTTTTTTACCGTGGGGTGATTTTAAAGTGCCTTTCCATGAGCGCGCGTGAGCGTGCATCTCATGGGGTCAACATCAGCCTGTGACTGCTTCACAATAATGGCAAATTTCGTGCATCTGGGCTGGATTCTCGTGCATCTGGGCTGGAATATTCAAATGACGACAAGAGCATATGCTCAGAAGACGAGATCGACAGCGCGGACGACAAGAGTTCTCCAAACTGCCCCGGAACATCAGCAGTCGTCCACCGGTGAGTTTAGCTTTGTGCTTGGGCTGCGTTATTGTCGGCGCGACGGTGTAAGTTGACCCGATGTGTTCTGAAGGTTAGGGCTCTTATCTGCAGGACGTCCACTTCCTTCGAGCAGGACCACTTGCCAGCGGCAGTGCAGAGAGTGCAATTTAGTGCACGGAGGCAGCCGGGAGTGAACCTTGGAGCCGCGTTACGTAGTTTGCGCAGCGCTTCGTGAGCGCTGTCGACATTTTGTTTTTTACTGTTCAAGTTATTCGAGCTATGCAAAAGGACAAACAAATATGCTTGGATGCATATTTTTCAGAAGCCGACATACAGCGAGATAGACAGTTCTTGGAGGTCTCACTGTTCATCTTGATGCTCCTACATGAAACGCTCCTCAGTACTAACAGTACCAGCCAAAAAAAGTAAATATATATATATAAAAAACACCAGGAACTGTAAATTATGCTATGAACAAAGAAAATTGAACTGAAAGCATTTTCTGTGAAACATGCGTAGCAAATCTGCGTTTTACCGCATCGAGAAACTGCTTCGTATGGTGGCATGAAAGACACTACGTACGTGTAATGTTATTTTACGTACACAAAAACTACAAAAAAGTTTGTATTTACAGCGCTTATATTTACAGGATAATTGTGTGTGCTCTTTACGCTTAAAATGTATATTTTGATTTCTTTTTATGCTTAGCCTTTTTAGAGCAGTGTTGATGGTTCTATGAAACTTCTTTTTTTGTACTATTGTTAATAAATTTGTGGTTTCAAACTGACTGTGTTTGAAAGATAACTCCTAGCTGTACAATTCGACACCATAAACATTAACATCAGTAACTTTGGGTGCCATAAAAAAATAAGGTTTTCTGGACTACCTAAGAATGGCTAAATTTTTTGTAATCACGGAAGTAATAAAGCTGGTCATGATAATTTCCACTTGCAAGTCATTTTACACGTCCTTCACCCACGTCGCGACTACACTGAAAGAAGCCTTCTTGCGGCACCCCGTTAGGGTCATGGCGGCATCGTCCTCCCCGAGCCACTCTTTGTACAACTTTGTGACACAGTCCATAAATGGCTTGTTGACAGCTACATCAAGTAACTGTATATCATAAGTCATATCGCCCGGTATGACAACCAGGTCTGTGTTAGTTTTCTGCAGCGCCTCCTTGACGCCAGGGCAAATGTGGCCTCTGAATGAGTCAAGGACCAACATATTTAGGTGCAAGTTTGTTTCCGGTCGCTTCATCCAAACCGCCTGGATCCACTCTTTGACCATCGCCTCATTCATGAACCCCTTTTCATTTGCACAAATGATCACGTTCGTGGGAAACTTTTCATTCTTCGGGAGCGTTTTGCAGCGAAATAAAATGTATGGTGGCAGTTTCTTCCCCTCTGCTGTGCAGCATAGCATGACAGTGAAGCGTGTGTGCTCATGCCCTGTTGTTAACAGGTACACATCCTTGACTCCTTTAGTTGCGATTGTCGTCAAACTAGGCATGTTGAAGTAGACCAAGGTTTGGTCAGCGTTTCCTATCTGACCGAGAATGTAATCCTTCTGACGCCGGAGGTTTATGATGTATCGCTGGAACTCTACAAGCCGTTCCTGAGGCAAACGCTAACAGATGGTCGTTCTACGATGGAAAGCATTCGTTCTGCCTCATTAACTTTTGGACCCAGCCCCGACTTGCCTTAAACGTTGACCGATGAATCCTGTCTCGTGCCAACTACCGGGCTTTCAACTGGATAGCCTCGTAGAAAATCGGGAGACCTTTAGCGCGTTTCTCTTCCACATGAAGCCTCAGTTCTTTTTCTAGAGTGTCATGCCTGCCGGTAGCTGGGCTGCAAAAAGCACGTCCTTGTCCATTGCATGCAAACAGTCGGCTTCGCTGCTTCCTCCAACTCCTAATTAACTTTTCATTCACGTCGAACTCGCGCTGAGCGGCACAGTTGTTGGAATTCTCAACAAAAAGTGTCACCTCACGCTTGGAGTTAGCGGATAGCTCTGCTGACGTGACATCGTTGTTGAACCGTGCAAAAGCAAACATTAACCCCAGAGAACACCAATATACTACCATTTAGAAAAGAGAAACTGTACCTTTGACAGTGCAACGAATATAAGGGTAGCGGAGGCGTTGTGAACTAACTTATCCGACCTAGAGATGGCGGTGCTTTGGTCGTGGGTGTGGGTGGTCGCAGTGCGCGCCCACAGGCTTATGGGCGTTTATTGCCGGATGTTGCGGGGTGGTATTTGTGCGCACGGCAGCCTACTACTACTATAAATGTTTCCACTATGTTCCCAGGTGACCGAGAGGCCTCAACTGGCAAAAACACGTCGAGCAAGTAAGCTTACATTGTTTAATGTGTGAGGGTGGCCGAGAGAGGGCGTTACGGGACGGCGTCATCATCATCATCGGGACTTGGCCGAGAGAGGGCACTACGTGACGGTGTCATCATCATCATTGGGACTGGAGTGGTGGGGGTTGCGTGTGTGGGGAAGGGGGAGTTCGGCCTGGTTGGGAGGAGTGGCAAGACGTAGCGGTGTGTGACCTAGGGTTAGCGCGTGACAAGTGGGGGCTCGTCCGGGATGGCTTCAGGCCCGACAACAGCAGCGGACGACATGCCTAGGCTCCAAGGTGTCGTTGAAGAGCTGTTGCTGGGCACCGACGGCTCCGCCATGGAGCACGAATGAATCGCGGCGATCGTGCGCGATCGAGTGATGGCGACGCCGCTGCCCACGGCACCTGCACGTGGGAGCATGGACTGTGATCGCTAACACTGGCGCGGTCCCTCGTGCCACCGACGACTCTGCGCCTTGGCTCGCTGCTGCGCACCTCCCCCGCTACTCCGGTGCAAGAGACTTGCAGTCGCCGGAGGAGTTTCTTGAACGTTTGGAAAACTTCTGCCTCGTGACGGGGGTCGCCGCCGATAAGCGACTGACACACGTGGTACCGGCTGCCCTCGAGGGTGGCGCGAAGTTGTGGTGGCGGTTCGTGCGCGGGTTCGACTCGTGGGAGCAATTCACTGCCACCTTCTGCTCCAAGTTTTCGTCGATTGACGCGAAGCGTCGCCTGAAGGCGGAGCTCGAACAGCGCACGCAGCACCCGGAAGAAAATTTGAAAGAGTTTATATATGCGATCGCTACGTTTTACGACCGCATCGGGGAAGAGGTCTCCGAAGCCGAGAAGGTGCAGCGCGTACTGAGGCAGATGCACCCTCAGTTGCAAGATTTGGCGGAGGGGCATGCCTACAACGACCTCGCCGAGTTGGTGAAGGCAGCCGACGGCCTGATGGAGCGGGCTTGGCGTCGCCTCCAGTACAGACCACCGCCACTTCCGAGCAACCAAGTAGCCAGAGATCTGGCGTTCCGCCCTAGCCAGGCCCCCGACCATCGCTCACTGCCGCAGCCGAACACTATGGCAATGGCGTCGTTCGCTTCGTTTGCTGCTGCCCCACCAGCACCACCGACTTATCACTGGCCACTGCATCCAGCTGCGCTAGACCCGTCGTACTGCCGGGACCGACAGTACTCGTGCGACACAGTGCCTCTGTTCTCACCCTACGGGCCGGGACCGATGCCGCGGCAGGAGCCCGCGAGTGGAGCAATGCGTGTGCAGTGCCATCGCTGTGGTGGTTTCGGCCACATATCTCGTAACTGTGCCACGGGTCGACGAATGGGGCCACCCGTTTGCTTCCGGTGCCAGCGATCGGGTCACCTGCAAGCATAGTGCCCGGGAAACCAGTGGTGGTAGGTGCTGCCCCGGCGGGCACCTAGGGCAGTGTGCACCAAGTAGCGACCACAGCCGGTGGCAAAGAGCCCCTTATGGACGTCCGTATCGGGTCGTCGACGTTCAAGGCCCTGCTAGATACAGGCTCAAGTGTAAGCTTCTTCGGACCGCACGCCGCGGCGGCGGCCCAAGCTTCTAGAGCCAAACCCAAGGCAGACGTACGCGTGCTGCGT